GGCCTAGATTTATTGAAAAAAAAAAAAAAAAAGAGGGCCTTGCTCCACTATTCTTGACATGCACAAAAGGCACAAATTACGGCGCTGTATCTTTCCATGTTCTACAGGAAGATTCACTCTCGTTTTGCACATATCGAGAGTAGTGGAGCCAGGCAAAACGAGAGTGAATCTTCCGCTACAACAGGGAAAGATGCACCGCCACGAGGCCCCAAGGATGACACGCATAGGTCGGGAGATCTGAGAAGGGGAAAAAAAGAGAAGAGAAACTGGGTTGTTGTCAGCACATGTCTCCCCTAGGGCCTCTGCGGTGTTGCCAGCCGTGTATCCCGCTGGGTCCCTGTATTCCTGTCGCACAGAAGACAAAAATCATGGAGCTGTACGCGTGAACGTGAAAAAAAAAAAAGGCGCGTTAGCGCTGCACTAATGCGTCTTGCGTTAGCACAGCGCTAGCACGCCGCCCCTGGCGGCGCGCCAGCACCGTGGTAACACAGTACTGACGCGTCGCCCTTGGCGGCGATGGGCAGCGGGGGATCGCACAGCGGGGCCAGCGGTTGTTGGTCTTGCACGCCAGAGCTTGCTGTCGGCGTGGCGGAGGCGGCACGTGGAGTACGGCGCGCGGGCGCAGGGGGGTGGCGCTTCACAGAGGTGATACTAAGCCTCTGGCTATGGCCGGTCTCGGTTGGCGAAAGCCAGGAATCCTGTTCAATCGTGGAGGGATGGAGATGATGTGGGGGCGATTGATGGGCGAGATCCGGTCGCCGCATATTTCAGAATACGAAAACTGATCAGGGGTGTCGATCCCCCTGTTTACAGATACGGAGCTTTGTTGATGACGATGTTGATGGGGTCATTCTGCCGTGATCAAGAGTGGTGATAGAGCTGGAGGATCAACTTATGGAGATGTCTGGAGGATAAACGTATGGAGAGGCCTGGGCAAATGAGTTTACAGATACTGGCTCTGCAGTCTGGCGTGGGACGTTGAGAACCCTTACCTTCCATTGCGTATATGATACACGCTTTGGAAGACTCTTGGATTCAACACCTCTTTTGTCTTTTTCAGCCAGGATTGCCTACAAGTGCGACTTCTTGTGCTATTCTCCAGCTGAATCGGCGGTTTTGCGCCTCACGATTCTTCAGAGCTGATCGGTTTGATGGCCAATTACTAGTTGAAGGTCAATTACTTGTTGAGCTCCACTGGTTTTGAATGGAAGTGCTCAATTAGGATTAGGTTTGTGCTATGAAAATCGGGGGATGGGTTAGTCATGCCGTTGATTACTGCTTGGTTTACTTGTTTTGCTGCTAGCTTTAATTAGCACACGGAACTCGCTGGGGTTAGAGGTGGCACTTAATCGCGGCTTCGATTATGTTCTTTTTGCTCATTTTCATTGACGTGCTTTGGTTTGTTTAATTTGTAATTGATTTGAGTAGGTTGAGAGAGAGAGAGAGAGAGAGAGAGAGAGAGAGAGAGAGAGAGAGAGAGAGAGAGACTTGGCTCCTTTTGGCTTGAATAGGCTTGAATTCTCATTTACGAATTATGTTGTGAATGGTTCTTTCCTTACCTGGTCGTTGAATCCGCTAACCTCCGTTTGGTTTAAATTACAGTATCATGATTTCAGCTCTTTAGTTGAGATTCACTAGTGTTCTTATAAAACGCTGAATTAAGGCCTGGCTCACTCTAGTAATAGCAAGATCCGTTACTTAACAGGCCTGTTAGGAATTTTGTTTGTGTTCTCGCATGATATGTTAGGGGTGTATACTAGAGAATTAATTAGGGTAGTATGATTTGAGGGTTTTCTACGGTCTTCTGCAGAGGATTGTTAGGGTTTGACTACCTTTTTGATTGAATTGTTGCCGTGGTTGGGGATGGGATCGGTCGGAAGTGCTTTTCCCAGCCCTGTATGGCTGCGGTTTCCATGTTCTGGCAAAGATTCACTCTCGTTTTCCACATTACATTTTGGAGATCAATCGTGGAAACGGAGAGTGAATCTTCCGTAGAACATGGAAAGATACAGCGCCAATATCTTTTTTTTTTTCCTTCTCGTTTCTTCTTTCCTTTTTTTTTTTTTTTTTTTTTTAAAAGGGCGATGGCCTTGAGGTATTATCATCGGACTAACCAGCCCAGGTAAATTCAATCTTGTGTCTAATCTGACAACGGTGGCCTTTTCAGCCCAGGGTGGCCTGATAGCCTTAGGGTGGCCTGATAGCCTTCAGGGATCCCCCACTGAGGGGCACCGGCCAGGGGACAGCCGGTAGCAGAGGGACGGAACATCATCTGAATGGCCAGTCGCTGTGCCTCCCTGAGTACCCCTCCCCCTATAAACATCAGCAGAGACTGCTTTTTAATGCCAATTGGGGGGACCAACGGGCTATCTCTAGGTGGCGTGGAAAACGGCCTGGCCCTCCAACGTGCATGACCAGACTGAAGTTACAAACTCTGCCCTGCGACAGCCACGCTACGGCGGAGTTTGGCCTGCAGTGTATTTTTTTTTTTTTTTTTTTTTTTTTTAATTTAAATTAGCCCTTGCGTAAACTTCAGAGGGGACTAGACTCCAAAACGGCAGTTTGGAATGTGTTTTCAAACTGTAACCCTGCCCGCGCCCTAGTTTTCTCAAAGGAATATCTAGGGTAGGCTGAGATTGTCCAAGGGCGGGATGGGTGGGAGCAAGGAACGTTCCGGCTCTGATACCAGTGTAACGGGACAACCGGGTTGGCGGTCCTTCTCCGTAGAGGAGGACAAGATAAGGATGCAGGTGGAGATGGCGGTGGAGATGGATGACACAACGCAGCACCGCCGCAGACTCAACACGCACGTACTCCAAGAACATGCCAATGAAGAATTATCCAGACTGCGGCTGCGGTATACCCCCAGCAGACGGACTGGCCTGGTACCGACAGCGGTGGACTGAACATCCACACGGCCTGTGAGATCAGCAGGTCGGGCCCACTGCACAATGGGGGAACGCTTTCAACATCTGCTACAATGTCATATTTCATAAGGAAAAACAGACTTCACAACGGTTACGGACAAAGAAAACACACAAAACAAAGTCTACCCTGAGATGGGGAAGCCATTTACAGCAAGCGTGGCTTACTATGGGCCCATCATTGGACTTTCTTGCAAGTTAGTTGCTCCAGCACAAAAAAAAAAAAAAAAAAAAAAAAAAAACACGCTGGCTAGTAGTGGGACCGTGCTCCTCCGGACCTGTAAACTAAGCGAGAAACCGCAATTTCGGTAGAAGAGGATCCATTGGGCCTTTTTCTTTTGTTTTCTTTTGCAATTCCGGGTCTGACAACACGGCCGGCCCCTGTCTCGTGTCTGCCGTACTTTATTACGCGATAAAATCAATATAGAATAGATAAGTAAGAGTTGGACCCCACAGGAATGCGGAAAGGAAGAATGTTTCCGCGAAACTGTTTCCGGGACCCCACATGCAGCGCAGGACGTTCTGGCAAAACTGAAATGTCTTCCAAATACGGGTTTCCGAGACCCCACAACCCACAAATAATGGCGTGGAAGAACGCTTTCCATTGTTTCCACATCGTCCGCGGCGTGGAAAAGTGGCTCCGGAGGACATCTCGCCGCGATTTTGTGCCGAAAGTTGAGACTGGGGGAGGGAGTGCGCGGGGTACTTTCCAAAGTCACGCCCACCGTTTGGACCAGCAAGTGTCCGGCCCCTTGGCCTAGCCCGGTCGTGGAACAGTGAGCAGGCAGGACATGCGTCGCACGTCGAAACCGGGCCCAGGGCTGTTGGTCCCTCAGAGCGGGGAAGGAAACGGGCGGTTGTGGCCCCACCATTTTGAATTCGAATTCAAATTCGAACGGGGGTGCGCCCGGCGTTGTCGTCAGCAGTCCATGGATGCAGGGAACTTCCACCACTGTGCACGTTCATGACAACCATTTGCTATTGTACCCGACACGTGGCTTCTGCTGGTCTGTCGTGCCGTGGAGTCGTGGATCAATAGTGCTGTCGTGCGCCTCCCATCAAGTTCAACGTAGTCCGCCATCTCCATTGCCGCACTGTGCCATGGCCGTCGGTTGGCCAACGTGTGCATGGTCTCGCGGGTGACTTCATGCGTCGTGGGTTTGTGGCGGATGTGCAACCGCTGTGGGGACGTGGTCGGTGTGTTGGAGTACCGCTTCTCAAATCCATCTCCTCCTTCCGCCGAGCATTGTCCACCCACGTGCCCTCCCTTGGTGCTGTGGAAGTTGGGAGCGTTGTGCGAGCTGTTCGCCCGAACATCAGGAGTGTCGTCGGTAGAAGCTTCCTGCCCGAAGCGAACGACATCACGCATGCAGTTGAACGTTGTGGCGGTAGAGGGCAGATCGTTGAGAAAGGGCTGAGAGACCGGGACGTGGCTATTCCGGGGACTGTTTATGCACGGCTGAACGCCGCACACCCGCCACTATCGGCTGGCACGACTGCTGCACAAGATTGTGTTGTGGTGATGGCAGGGCTTGTCCGTGTCGGTGCCTGCGAGATTCGACCGGCACGACGGTGATCGTCATCGACGTCGGCGACCATGAGAGGGGGGGTGTTGGTTCACGCATGTTCCTCTGGGGCTTGCTTATGATTGTGTCCGTGTTTGTTTTGTTCGCCGTCGTTGTTGTCCTCTGTTTGGGCGTTGTAGTGGTCGCTCTCCTCGCCACGCGTCGGTAGCGGTGTTGTTCAGTTGCAGAACTGGGTATCTAGGGAGACGTGCGAAAGCAATGGAACGACGTAGTTTCACTGATGATCTGTACAACGATTTGGGGGGGTCTTGTTTGTCCGCTGACACAGGGGGTGACGCGATTTTTTGCGCACAACCACGCATGGAGTCAGTGCAATCGGTGCCTTCATGGTCTTACGTGCCGCAGCCCGGTGTCCGTAGAGGTTCGTTCAACGGTTATGGTCGGGAGAGATCTGCTCCGCAAGGCGGTAACAGCATGGCGCACGCGCCATTACATTCGCGAGGTTTCCGGGAAGGGTCAGCAATGGCTTGTGCCAACATTTGGGGTTCCCCTCCGGATCTTCCATGGCAGTTGTCCCAGCCTCGGGCGGGGATGATGCCGCACATCTCGCCAGTTCCTGTGGGCCGAACGACAGGAGGGGGCTGTTCCAACCACCCAACTCCGCATGATCAGCTGTCAGCGGAACTGTCTGCGATGGGGGGGGGGAGAGTGCTTCAAGGTGCGTCACCCACAATCGGTATGTTGTCGATCGTTGGAGCTGCACAAGCGCCGAGAAACTCGGAAGTCCACCAGAGGAGAATGCCGATTGACGTGCAGGCGAGGGGGGTGGACAGCAGTTCACCTGACCTTTTTTGCGCAACGGACAGCAGGGGATATCGACAGTGGCACGAAGAAGGCAGGAGCGACGCCAGAACCGGGTTTTCGGGGAACACGGCCGGCGAGACAGGGGAGGCCGTTGTCGAGGGTACGACGATGGGAAACCGTGGGGAGAGCGCGGAGAAGGATGACGATGATGGAACGATATCCGCGGCGCCGGACAAGATTGATGAAGGAGTCGGTGATCGGACCAAACCGCCTCCTGCGGGTGGACGGAAAAGGAAGGGGGGCAGCTCACCACGACAGCCGAAGAAGAACAACCCCTGGTCTTTGGAAGAAAGATTGGACCTCGCGAAGTTCGCCAGCGAGGACGACGCCCTAATGGCCGACGCCGAAGGTGCTCAGGCGTGCATGACGAGGTCGAAAAGATGGGAGTGGGTTGCAGGAAGGCTTGGAGACATCGGTTACTCTAGGACGGCGGAAGACTGCAGGAAGAAATGGGCGGAGCTGGTGAAGAAGGTGAGGGAGATACGGGATGCATGCGAAGGGTCGGGGAAACAAGCATACAGGAACGGAGGAAGCTAAGGGTTAGCTTGACGTTCGAGCGGTAGTTGTGGGACGCTATGGAGTGGTATCGGTTGAAGAAGTCAGTGACGTGTGACGACACACTGGCTTCGGAAGATTTGAGAGGGGGCGGATCACCGAGCGGTGGAGAGGCGGGTTCGGAGGGTGGTGGGACAGATGCTTCAGACACCGCCACCAAGACACGACGTACGTCAAGCAGGAAAGCCCGGGGGGGTGATTCTCCAGCGTTGATGTACGGCATGACATCGGTGATGGAGGAGTCAACGAGGGCGTTGTGTGAGGGTTTGGACAAGGCTGCCAGCACATTGGCTCGTGCGTCGACGGATGGATCCAGGATGGTTGTCACGGAGATCGGGGCTGTCGTCGGCGCGATGCGGCAGGGCAATGCTGTTTTGGAAATGCTTGTCGGGGTTATGGCGGCGAGAGGTGCAGGGAGTGGTCGGGGATGGCAGCCGCGACACGGACCCCTCCACAAGGTAGTGACCGACCGTCGGCGG